ACAACAGATCATTTATATACATATTGAATAACAATGGTGAAAGTAAACATCTTTGTTTAAGACCGCAATTAACATTAAACCATGGGCATTAAAACCATTCAAACGGATACAACATTTGACGTTATCATAGACTGACATAATTGTATATTAAAATCCTACCCTAACATTTTGTGAGAGTTTTCCCCATAAAATATTATTACACCTGGAACTCAAACGACCTCAGAGTCACCACCGTCCGGGAGCTCGTTGAGCAGATCAACGAGCAGCTTCTCTACACTCCGTTGCAGCTTCCCCACACCAGGCCCCTGTGGTCCAGTATATTGCCTCGGTGTTGCTGGCGATATGCTAGAGGCATTAAGCCTGTTGAACTTGGCTTTAAGAAGCTGAATAGGCGTGTTGCTAATCCTATGAGGACAATCGACGGTTGAAGTCATACGCCACGACCTCATCTACCCAGGCGAAGAGCACTACAGCAGTGATGGGGTACACTTGACTCCCGTGGAGGTTGCAGATTTTCTGTGATGACACACCTGGCCTTTGTTAATCTAATTTTCTACTTTGTTATCATTTTGTTGTTACATCGTTTCTAGGAGAGTCGGACAATAATTCCATTTAGCATTATTTGGCTAAATGTCGTTATTGTACCCCCATGCATGTCCTAAAGTCCTACAATTATTCTCATTCTACTCACAATTACACATAATTTCTTTACAGCAAACACAATAGATTCTTCTTAACAAAACACGTGCTCATGTTTACAAACACCCAAAGCTGTGCATTTCATCACACCCGCTTACATTACGTCATCACACAATTGGACACGTCATCATAATATTTATATTACGTCACTTTCTTTCATTCCTCCGTCATTTCATCAAGCACTTGTTAAAATTTCATTTTATCATCTTTTCTGTTTCCCTCCCACCCTCCCCATGTTTGCCTAACCGTTTTATTCTATCACTTCTAATTCCTGTAACTTAAATCACGCTTCTCATCTCAAACTTCCAAATACTATAACTGTTGTCAACCCTATCTGTATTTTACATAACCGTAATATCTTTACCAACAGATTTAATCCTAAATGGTTTAACTTTGTTGTACAATTAGATTGAAATAAAAATACGTCAGGTGGCAAGGTTCGGGGTGGACACGGGACCGCTCGATTTATTAATCGGTGCTGCTGTTAGGCTGCCTATTTTCCAATAGAGGCTACTTCCAACCTTCGGGTGGTCAAAATAGCATTCAGAATATCGCCGCTACCTGTCTCGTCTGTTCAGGGTCCAACGGAGAGCAGGTCATTTATTCGCTTTCGCTTGGCCCTGAGTCCGCCTTCGCCTTCTACACCTGGGCTTTGTTAATCCAATTCTCTACTTTGTTATCATTTTGTTGTTACATAGTTTCTAGGAGAGTCGGACAATAGTCTGAAGTTATTACTGATGTGTTATTTTAGATCTCCTCGCGCTGATTTGTTGGTTAATCTTCATGTATTAGGAATCATGATAACATCAATACTATTACCTTTCAGTTTGGTGTACTGGAGCAACAAACAAATACACACAAGTCTGATTGTTTTCAGATAATGGTAAACGATAAAGATGACAATAAGATGGATTTGTTACAGGTGTAACTGCCGGGATAAATGGGTGGACGGTATTCCAAACTGTATTCCCATTGTGATAACCCTACAGCATAATAAAGTGTGATACACCCCACATGGGTACAATGAGGGAAACCCATTTCTGGTGTTCCCCATCGTGATATTGCTGGAATATTACTAAAGCAAGCCATACTCACTCACTCACTCACTCACTCACGCACGCACGCACGCACGCACGCATGCACGCACGCACGCATGCACGCACGCACGCACTCATAAAACCCACGAAGACGACAAGATCTTAAACAGTTGGTACAGTAGTATATCTTCCTGTCTCTCCACAATCAAATCTTGTTAAAACATTTTCTGAAATGTATATGCCCAAACATGCAGAGATATTTTTCCATGTGTAAACATAGTTTGGACATTTAGATAAAGTGTTTTCCGTGGGATACCACTTTTGTTTAAGAGTAGCGAGAAGTCTCATATAAAGTATCCCATACAGTTGTAAATATTGCCATCTTCCTCGCTAACAATCAAAACCAAACCCACAATTTAAGTAGAACTTGTTTAATATGTGTTCTCCATTTGATTCTGCCAGTAATTCAGTATGTAGCCTATAACTGTAAAGTGTAGTTTAGGTCCACCAATGATTAACTGCCTGTGAATGTGGGCTGAATTGAAGCTCTACACGAATTCACATAGTACTATATGATTGAATGTAGTTTCACTGCCGAATTCGTTGTTACAAATACCATACACACCATATTGTTCAGAACATACATCAAACAGCTATGAAAACACGTCCCTATATTAAACAGGTTCAAAGTCATGATTGATTGACTTGATTGAAACTGTGAACAAGTTAGGCTAATATATCTTTACTAATTGATACATTATCACGCTAAATCTACACACAACTTTTACACTTTTGAAGGATCAGTTTGTGGTCTCTATTCAGACGTAACACGCAGGAAGATTCAGGGCTCTGGCGGTACACAATGTGCGGTGCTGAATCAGGTTTTGGTGTCAAGGTTACACAACGATAGCGCGGGACAGAGTGTACTTACTCCCCAGTATAGCAAGGGTGCACACAGCTTCATGTGACTTCGTCGGGTGAAGCTGTAGCGATATATTAAACAAACTCATCGTCGTGAAATGCGTAAAACTGTGCACAAAGAATAGCACATGAAAGTAACCGTAAGAACTATTATTTCACTTGTGTTCCGTTATGATCAAAGTGCACCCAGGTTACAAAGCAGGCGAAGATAGAAAACGTTGGCTGCGGAGGGTGGTTGGATGGGTGAATTCGTTTCTAGTCATGCTGTGCCTCCGTATCTCAAAATACATAAGAAAGAGATGTGTAAACTTGTAAACTTGTAGAGATGTTCTGGACAGAGCTTGTACTGACTGAGTCAACTCTCAAACGTACATCTATATCGACAGAGCTTGATGGCGATGGAAGCAGATGTCCAAGACAACCATGCTTCTATCTTGGCTGTACGATCATATTTTCAGGGCATGAGGATGGATGGGGCGATCAGCTCTCCACATGTCACCTAAGGCCATTCCATCTTCACGTTTTGGCGGAGTGTTGTTGTTGTCGGTTGACTGACAATTTGTTGAGGAAGACTTGCAATAGAATGTGTGCTTAGTAAAGAAGGCCTAAATACCTTATGTTATGTCCTTATTACCATATCAGATGTCCTTGCACTTTCTTTATGAACTGGGGTATTAGGGGTAGCGTCTAGTGGATTTAAGCGTCAAGCTCTCACATCATCACTAAGGCCCGGTTTCGATTCCCTACATGGGTACAATGAGTAAAGCCCATTTCTGGTGTATCTCGCCGTGATATTGCTGGAATACTGCTAGAAGCGGCGTAAAACTAAACACACTCACCCACTCCTTCATGAACTAACTCTTCACACGTTTAGAGTATCACTTACACGTATAGGTGACAGCATAGAAATCAAAGAATAACCGATTATTTTATTGTAACTACGGTTATTCTTTCCTGAATGTATGAGTGAATAAAGTGGAATGAATACTAAATTCTTTAATGTAGTAGATATTCACTCCGTCGATCAGCTGATATAAACAACTACATTGTCTTCGTTTTGCCTGACATAACAGGGTAATCTCTATACAACAGCTTACAGAATCTCATTAAAAACAGAAAGTGTCATGACTAGTACATCGAAAATGCCATTAGTAATAGCAATGAAGTCATTTGCACATAATACTTGCATGGGCAGTTTAGGGTGTTGATATAATATATGCTTGGTCAGTATGATTTGGTTAATATGAATGCACGTGTACCTGGCAACGTTACATTGAGAAAAGAATGCTTGTGGTTTGTATACTATAAGTAGTAAAGAAAATAATCTTGTGGTACGTTAAGTTACTTTGATTCTTCGTTTTACCCAAATGACGTGAAAAAACACACACCATGTCCAGTTTTGTAGGTATGTCTTAGGAGATGGAAACCTATCTGTACATGGACATTTGATGTGTTTAGACAAACTTCACACCAACTGGTAATGGGGAACATTTGCGGGCCACCGCTTTAACATTCGCTTTGTTGAGAACCTGTTCTTTGGCCATGACCAGAATTCACTGGTTGTGGGGATCCACATTCTTTCTTGTCATGATGCTTCTGTCAGAGACCTACCAACTGACACACACGGATTTTTTCATTACTGTCGATGTTTTTCTCGGTGAAAGGACTCTCCTTGTTGAAAACGTATCACAAGTCAAATTACAGCTATCACGGTGAATCTACAAGCAGATGAGTCTGTGTTTATGGAGCTCGTAACGAGCGCTTTTTTAGCGTACGCAAATTGTAACTGACCTTTTGTCATATCTATTGTCAACATGGAATTCTGAATAATTAAGAAGCAATGATAAAACTGAAAACAAATTATTGAAGTTTAACCGTATATTTCCGGACAAGGTGTGTTTCTTCTTCAACTTAAAGTCGTTAACATTAATATCTATGAAATAAACCCTAGACAGTGTGTATGATTGAAAGTAAATATGTGTTTTTTTTAGGTGAAAAACGACTTATTCTAACTCAAAATCTTTATTTTTAATGTGCATACGGAAAGTACTATGCAATGTCTCAACCAATTGTAGCGTCCCAAACGACTGGGCAACCCATGCCCATACGACCATTGCGAGATAAGACATGGTAACATTTATGTATGACAAAAAACGCATACCAGGGAATAGTTTTGGTTTATACGTTTTTGAGCAACATAGTTATCTGCGCATTATCTGAAATTCTTGCAACACATTTTCCTTTCTCACAGTACAACTATGCCAAAATGGGAGTGTCTTGCTTTGCCCTTTGACGTCATTGTAGAACCGACATACATGTGATCCGTCATATTGAGATAACAGTTGATGTAACATAGCAGACCAACTGATGGACATGTCTATGGCTGTTGTGTTTCTGTGTATTCTTCTTATAGGGACGCTGTCAGGGCTCATTTTACCGATGACCCAACCTGATGGCACCGCTGATATTTCCAGCATTATAAACCATGTTTCTTCACTTGAACAGACTGTGGCTGATCTGCAGAAAACAACTGGACAGTTGAAAACAGATTTGCAGACCAGTAGGTCACTACACCAGTCAGCAAATAAGGAAATTGCCTCTCTCAAAGATGAAGTTGCATCCTTAAAAGTAGACCTCCGGTTGTCGACAGACGAACTGAACTTTGTGAAGGCGGAAATTGTGAATCAGGGTAAGGGTGATTTGCAGCTGAATCAAAATAATTTGAATTCTACCACTCTTGATATGGCATCCGACAGCGCACAAGTAAACAGTGTGCAATCAGATGTCAAGATGTTGAGAGATCAACTAGATCTTTTGAACACTACCGTGTATGATGTAAAGAGCGTAACAGATGGATTCATTCAAAGGACGTCTCCAATTTTCCAGTTAATTGCACAAAGTCAGTTAATCGAAAATATGAAATCTGCAAATCTTCTCGCCCAAAATACGTCAAAGCAGCTAGCACAGTTTGAAAAAGCCATCAAGGCAACTACAGGAGACATGCTGAATGTGTCACGTGATCTACATTTGATGAATGCAGATCTACAAAGTACGAAGCATAGTCTCAGTCTGACACGATCAGACGTTACAGATTTGAAAACTGACATTGCTGTTGGAAAGAATCAATCTCTTGACAATAAGCACTCATTGTCGCTTATGTCACAGTCGATGCAGTCTTTAATGGGAGATCTGAACACAACTGCAGGAAACATACTGAATGTCACACAAGATTTACAGTCGGTCAATGCAGATCTACAAAGTGCGAAGCAAAATCTCAGTCTAACAAGCTCCGAAGTGACGGCTTTGCAAACGGACATGGAAAAAGAAAAGAATCTATCTCGAGGCAATAAGCACTCCCTGTCGCTTATGTCACAGTCGATGCAGTCTTTGATGGGAGATCTGAACACAAATGTAGGAAACATACTGAATGTCACAAACGGTTTACAGTCGGTCAATGCAGATCTACAAAGTGCGAAGCAAAACCTCAGTCTAACAAGCTCCGAAGTCACGACTTTGCAAACAGACATGGAAAAAGAAAAGAATCAATCGCTTGGCAACAAACAGTCCCTGTCGCTTATGTCACAGTCGATGCAGTCTTTAATGGGTGATCTGAACACAACTGCAGGAAACATACTGAATGTCACACACGGTTTACAGTCGGTCAATGCAGATCTACAAAGTGCAAAGCAAAATCTCAGTCTAACAAGCTCAGAAGTCACTTCTTTGAAAGCTGATATGGAGAGAGAAAAGAATCAATCTCGAGGCAACAAACAGTCCCTGTCGCTTATGTCACAGTCGATGCAGTCTTTAATGGGAGATCTGAACACAACTGCAGGAAACATACTGAATGTCACACAAGATTTACAGTCGGTCAATGCAGATCTACAAAGTGCAAAGCAAAATCTCAGTCTAACAAGCTCCGAAGTGACGGCTTTGCAAACGGACATGGAAAAAGAAAAGAATCTATCTCGAGGCAATAAGCACTCCCTGTCGCTTATGTCACAGTCGATGCAGTCTTTGATGGTAGATCTGAACACAACTGCAGGAAACATACTGAATGTCACAAACGGTTTACAGTCGGTCAATGCAGATCTACAAAGTGCGAAGCAAAACCTCAGTCTAACAAGCTCCGAAGTCACGACTTTGCAAACAGACATGGAAAAAGGAAAGAATCAATCGCTTGGCAACAAACAGTCCCTGTCGCTTATGTCACAGTCGATGCAGTCTTTAATGGGTGATCTGAACACAACTGCAGGAAACATACTGAATGTCACACACGGTTTACAGTCGGTCAATGCAGATCTACAAAGTGCGAAGCAAAACCTCAGTCTAACAAGCTCAGAAGTCACGACTTTGCAAACGGACATGGAAAAAGAAAAGAATCTATCTCGAGGCAACAAACAGTCACTGTCACTTATGTCACAGTCGATGCAGTCTTTAATGGGAGATCTGAACACAACTGCAGGAAACATACTGAATGTCACACAAGATTTACAGTCGGTCAATGCAGATCTACAAAGTGCAAAGCAAAATCTCAGTCTAACAAGCTCCGAAGTGACGGCTTTGCAAACGGACATGGAAAAAGAAAAGAATCTATCTCGAGGCAATAAGCACTCATTGTCGCTTATGTCACAGTCGATGCAGTCTTTGATGGGAGATCTGAACACAAATGCAGGACACATACTGAATGTCACAAACGGTTTACAGTCGGTCAATGCAGATCTACAAAGTGCGAAGCAAAACCTCAGTCTAACAAGCTCCGAAGTCACGGCTTTGCAAACGGACATGGAAAAAGAAAAGAATCAATCGCTTGGCAACAAACAGTCCCTGTCGCTTATGTCACAGTCGATGCAGTCTTTGATGGGAGATCTGAACACAACTGCAGGAAACATACTGAATGTCACACACGGTTTACAATCGGTCAATGCAGATCTAAAAAGTGCGAAGCAAAATCTCAGTCTAACAAGCTCAGAAGTCACTTCTTTGAAAGCTGATATGGAGAGAGAAAAGAATCAATCTCGAGGCAACAAACAGTCCCTGTCGCTTATGTCACAGTCGATGCAGTCTTTAATGGGAGATCTGAACACAAATGCAGGAAACATACTGAATGTCACACAAGATTTACAGTCGGTCAATGCAGATCTACAAAGTGCAAAGCAAAACCTCAGTCTAACAAGCTCCGAAGTGACGGCTTTGCAAACGGACATGGAAAAAGAAAAGAATCTATCTCGAGGCAATAAGCACTCCCTGTCGCTTATGTCACAGTCGATGCAGTCTTTGATGGTAGATCTGAACACAACTGAAGGAAACATACTGAATGTCACAAACGGTTTACAGTCGGTCAATGCAGATCTACAAAGTGCGAAGCAAGACCTCAGTCTAACAAGCTCAGAAGTCACGACTTTGCAAACGGACATGAAAAAAGAAAAGAATCAATCTCGAGGCAACAAACAGTCCCTGTCGCTTATGTCACAGTCGATGCAGTCTTTAATGGGAGATCTGAACACAACTGCAGGAAACATACTGAATGTCACACACGGTTTACAATCGGTCAATGCAGATCTACAAAGTGCGAAGCAAAATCTCAGTCTAACAAGCTCAGAAGTCACTTCTTTGAAAGCTGATATGGAGAGAGAAAAGAATCTATCTCGAGGCAACAAACAGTCCCTGTCGCTTATGTCACAGTCGATGCAGTCTTTAATGGGAGATCTGAACACAACTGCAGGAAACATACTGAATGTCACACACGATTTACAGTCGGTCAATGCAGATCTACAAAGTGCAAAGGAAAACCTCAGTCTAACAAGCTCCGAAGTGACGGCTTTGCAAACGGACATGGAAAAAGAAAAGAATCTATCTCGAGGCAATAAGCACTCCCTGTCGTTTATGTCACAGTCGATGCAGTCTTTGATGGGAGTTCTGAACACAAATGCAGGAAACATACTGAATGTCACAAACGGTTTACAGTCGGTCAATGCAGATCTACAAAGTGCGAAGCAAAACCTCAGTCTAACAAGCTCCGAAGTCACGACTTTGCAAACGGACATGGAAAAAGAAAAGAATCAATCGCTTGGCAACAAACAGTCCCTGTCGCTTATGTCACAGTCGATGCAGTCTTTGATGGGAGATCTGAACACAAATGCAGGAAACATACTGAATGTCACACACGGTTTACAGTCGGTCAATGCAGATCTACAAAGTGCGAAGCAAGACCTCAGTCTAACAAGCTCCGAAGTGACAGCTTTGCAAACGGACATGGAAAAAGAAAAGAATCTATCTCGAGGCAATAAGCACTCATTGTCGCTTATGTCACAGTCGATGCAGTCTTTAATGGGAGATCTGAACACAACTGCAGGAAACATACTGAATGTCACACAAGATTTACAGTCGGTCAATGCAGATCTACAAAGTGCGAAGCAAAATTTCAGTCTAACAAGCTCCGAAGTCACGACTTTGCAAACGGACATGGAAAAAGAAAAGAATCAATCTCTTGGCAACAAACAGGCCCTGTCGCTTATGTCACAGTCGATGCAGTCTTTAATGGGAGATCTGAACACAACTGAAGGAAACATACTGAATGTCACACACGGTTTACAGTCGGTCAATGCAGATCTACAAAGTGCGAAGCAAAATCTCAGTCTAACAAGCTCCGAAGTCACGGCTTTGAAAGATGACGTGGAGAAAGAAAAGCATGCATCTCGGGACAATAAGCAGTCGTTAGCACAGAGTATGCAGAAGATGAAGTCAGTCATGGGAGACCTGCATGCGACACAAGACAAGCTCAATTTGACAAGCTCGGAAGTCACAAACTTGAAAAGAAATTTGTCTACTGTGGAAGGACAGATCTCAAACCTTCGGTAAGATAGCAGTTTTGTTGTTCCTATAGTCTGTATAAGCACACACGTGCTTAGGTCAGACTTCTGTGATAACAAAAAACTACAGGCATTGCTTGTTCAGCATTGACTTTCTGAGTAGAACCAAGCAAATTCAAATTCTCAAACGGTACATTGTTGGTGTATAAGCAATCAATTCATACACAGAAACATCATATACAATATAACGAACAATCACTATGAACGATATAAGACATATTATTTATAGAAGTAGAAGTAGTTACAGTGGAATCAGAGGCCTTTTGGTATCTTCTCTCTGTGGCATATATTTTACCCAGCTTTTGAAATCAACAAATAATAATTATAAAGTGTTCTTCTGTGAACTGGTGGACATTTCTGTTGTTTAAAGCAATACTCATTGTTCATTCACTGGTTCGTTTGTTCATTCAATATCGTCTCGAGCAAGATGTGGCAGCAAATTGTGATCCGTATTCCACACAGCTAAGACATAATGACTCTGACACATCCAGATGGATACAATGTGTGAAGGCCATTTCAGGTGTCCCTCGCCGTGATATTGCTGGAATATTGTTAATATAGGCGCGAAACCAACTCACTCACTCACTCATTCATAATGTGACACAACGTTAATCCCGGGAATGATTTCGAGAATGGCCATGTTCGGCAGCTTGGCTTGAAAGTTCTAGTACATGTGGTCTCCTCTTAAGCAAGTGAAATAAGCGGTGAATGTGTACCCAGCAGGGTGAGATGGTAATCTGATTCTTATACTTCCAACTTCCTAGAACAGAAGGAACGCTTGCTCCACTGCTCCACTTACTGGCTGAATGGAATCGAACACTTTACATGTTAACTTGTTATCATATTATTTTCATCAACACATTCCCGAAATGTTCACGAAATAAGTACTTTCATCAATATGATTGATACAACCTTTCTTTCATTTCAGTCAAGGAAATGATACACCACCTATTGCATTCAACGTGTATGACCCCGCAAACCAGGTTCCTGGAAAACCCCTGATGTTTACCGAACATCACTACAATGCTGGCTTGTGCTACAACAGTAGTACCGGGAGGTTCACTGCACCGGTTTCTGGAACCTACATGTTCTGGACACAGCTTGTACTGACTGACTCCAACTCTACAACGTATGTCTATATCATGAAGAATGACGGATGGATGGCGATGGACACAGATATCAAGGACTACCATGCTTCAGTTATGGTTGTTGATCATGTAGACAAGGGCAGTGATGTGTGGGTGGAGGCGTCAAGTTCCCACAATATCACTTTGAGATTTGCGTCTTCACACTTTGGTGGAGTGTTATTGTCAAAGGACTAATATTAATGAGAACATGTATTACACTGAGTAAAGTATGTTATTTTATGTTATCTTATGTCCTTCTTAGATTATTTGATTTATATAATTGCAATACCTTGGTAAACCAATCATTCACGTGTTAAGGTAATCAGACTCCATTGAGTCCACTCGTCCTATACAAAGCACATTGCAGCTCATACGTTATGTCCCTCTGTCACAACGTTTAACACCTCTGTTATACTGCTGGTATGGAAAGCGCCTCTGTGAGGAGCTTGTTTGCTTGTTTGTTTACTTCGGGACTGTTCAAAAAGTTTCCAGACAGCAGTTTCTAGAAAGCTGATTGTACATATGTAAGAGCAAGACAAGGGTGACTGACGGCTTCCTCCTTCGTTGCGATGTATCTGCTTGTCCAGAATTTAAGAATGGAGGACGTGTCTCACTCGTGACTGCTGCGGCAAATACTGGACATTCCTGAGAGCGGCGAGCACTTCTGTGAAAGGACCTGTTATCTTATGCTGCTGCCAGACATTTCAGCCATTGTATTGCCTTTTGTGATTACTAACCTAATCCTTGGTATTTCAGTATAATTGGTTGTTTGCCCTTTAATCTGAGGTTATTACTGATGTGTCATTTTAGGTTTCCTCGCACTGATTTGTTGGTTTATCGCCAAGTATTAATCAACATTTTCATCATTGAATTTGGTTTACACACAACAAATACACACAAATCTGATTTTTTTCTTGGAAAATTGTAAGTCTGATATAATGAATGATAAAGACGACAATAAGATGGATTTGTTGCAGGTGTAACTGCCGGGATACACCCTACAGCATAATATATGGGTACACCCCATATGGGTACAATGTGTGAAACCCACTTCTAGTGTTCACCATCATGATATTGCTGGGATATTACTAAGCTGGCCATACTCACTCACTCACTCATAAAGCCCAAGAAGAAGATATGATATAGTTTGGTACATTAGTCTATCTTCCTGTCTGTGTTGTAGGATTAAATTCTCAACATTCAAATCTGAGACATTTTCTGAAATGCATAGGCCTATACATGCAGAGATATCTTTCCGTGTGTAAAATGCCTTAAATAAAATGTTTTCCGTAGGATACCTGTTTTGTCTAAGAGTAGCCAGAAGTGTCATTTAAAAGTTTCCGATACAGGTGTAAATATTTTCCATCTTCCTCGCTCTCGCGCTTTGAGCATGGGCCTTGTGCATGGAAAAGGCGCATTAAATTATTATTACAATGGAAACCATCCCAAACTTTGAATACAATTTGTTTAATATGCGTGCTCCATTTGATTCTGCCAGTAGAATCAAGCGATTTGAGAAACCTTCATTCAGCATGTAGCCTATAACTGTAAAGTATGCTTTAGGTCCACCAATAATTAACTGCGGGTGACTGAGGGCTGAATTTATCTCTACACGAATTCACATAGCACTATATGATTGAATGTAGTTTCACTGCCGAATTCGTTGTTACAAATACCATACACACCATATTGTTCAGAACATACATCAAACAGCTGTGAAAACACGTCCCTATATAAAACATGTACCAAGTCACGATTGATTGGCTCATCATCATATAGCTATCTCAAGCGCTTTTTTGTCAGAAGTACTGTGGGACACTGCTACTAAACACCATAACATCTAGTTTCATACCAGAAATTCACAAACGGTTTCCAAGCACCTGCCAGTGTCAGATGGTGATGGGCGTTGCTCATAACCTCAATTACATGTTTCCAGGTTCGGTTTGTTTCAGTCATTTAGCTGGGGTATTGCTATTAAACACACATCCATTCAGAACACAAACATCCATTCCGAACACGAATGAATCAGTTGTGAAAACACGCCCGTATATTATATGTATGTCAAGTCACGTTTGATTGTCCCATCATCAAATAGCTATCTCAAGCGACACCCAGAAACTGTGAACAATTTAAACTAATATATATTTACTAGCTGATACATTAGTACACACACACCCTTTACACTATTGAAAGATCAGTTTGTGGTCTCTATTCAGATATAACACGTACACAAGTTTCAGGGCGCTGGCGGTAAACTGTTCGGTGCTGAATCAGGTTTTGGTATCAAGGTTACACAACAATAGCGCTGGACAGAGTGTTCTTTCTCCCAGTACAGGCGAGGATGCACATGTGACTACGCCGGGTGAAGACGTAGCTATATATTAAGCTAACTCACAGTCGTGAAATACGTAAAACTGTAATTCGAACAAACAGCCGCTGGATCAGTCCATTCCTGTTGCCATGGCACTGAGAGGAAAAGTTGCGCTCATTACAGGTAAGTTTCTTCATGGTGTAAGTTGTGTAAGGATCAGCATTTCATGTCTTTGTATCCCCGGAGATTGGTATGTAAGACACAAGTAGGGAAGAATACAGTGTCAATAGTTGATTGGTAAGGGTGTCGGTTGTGTGAGGATATTGTATGCCTGGAGATTGGTATGTGAGACAAATACTTGTTGTAAGAGGAGATGATGAGCTCACGTTAATCACATCCCTCCCTGTACTGAAGGACCCTTGATTATGAATGGTGAAAACATGTGTCTAATTTCACTATATACACTAAACGCCAAAAGAAACGTTACCCTCCTTCCTTAATGACGGAGGTACCTATCTTCAACTTGCGTTGTGATGCGTGGGCTTCCACTTCTTGGTCTGTCTACGGTGACCCCAGTTTGTCTGCAGCCCTGCATAAAATCTTATAACCGTGATTGAGGGCGTTGGCAACAACTTCGTATGTCGATCCCATCTGCACCATCCCACTGGCTCTATCTCTCTCTTCAGCTGTTAATCCTGGCCTATATCTCGTACTTGTGTATCATATCATCTATTTTAGGCTCTATTCATGCCCTATAGAATCATTCTACATGTGAAATGGATGCAAATACTGCTTGAATATTACTACGTTTTGGCGATTAATATTGCTATGTGTAAACAGAAAATAGAAAATGTTACTTTGCATGTTCCTAAACATTTTTCCACAATATCAAAGACACGTTTTACTTGTTTTCACTAATGCCAAATAGCAGAAAATGTTTTAGAAGACTGGAATAATAGGAATGATTATCTTACAATTTTGCACACTCTACAACAGTTGTTTTTGTTTTAATAGTTGAAATATGGTGACTTTAAATGCCGCAGGCCAAAGCAGAATTTATTTCAACTTTTTTTGGACATCTAAATCACTGTTATTGGTTTATTTCGGCATGGACGAAAATAGGGCAATTTAACTCTTCTGAAAAAGATGCATTTCACCTAAATATGAATGCATTTGAGAAATATGTTTCGTGATTTTGCATAAAGTTGTCTTGTTAAGCTTCTAACATATCTTTAATAGTTTTTAAGTAATTCATAAAGGTAGGAAGGTAACGTTTCTTTTGACGTGTAGTGTATACATTACAAAGCTGTCATTGGATCTTACATCTGTGATCTAATGCAGAGAAGGGGGACACTCAAGTAGGCATAAATAAGTTACATGAAATAAAACCAAATATCGGTTACACCTACTATGGTTGTCTGTCTAGATTTAAAGAGGTCATTATCCGACGATATCGTATATAGGCCATGCTAGATACACTCATGAATATTTGCTCAAAGGTGAAGATCCTCCGTTTTGTATCCCTTGTGATGAGAGAATCACAGTCAAGCATGCCCTGCTTGACCACAGTGATTTTCCATCACAAGGGATAATTATTTTAAGGTAAAAACAATTAAGGATCTTTTTGAAAATGTTAATTATCATTTAATTATTGATTTTATAAAAGAAATAGAATTATTAGATAAATTTTGAATGACATGTTTTGTAAATAGATACATGGACTTTTAACATGGCAGTATAAATTAGCAACTGCGATTGTCAGAAGCTGTATCCTCAAAGGGGGTTAAAGTATAGTACAATTATTGTCCTCCTGAGAGGATACGTAAGTCCGAAAACATTCAAAGTAAAATTTCAACTAACCGATTATTTTTAAAATGTAGTATCTTTGTTATTTTAAATTTCGGCTACATGTTCCTACAATCGTCAGCGGCTGGGGGGATGGTGCAAATCCAACTAAGGTCCATGCAGGTAGCAAAGGTACTGTAAGTCCCCATGGACCCTAGTATGGTGATCTACCTTCTGTTGCTGGCGATCTATAGCCTGTGTTTATATTGTAATGTCATACATGGTATATACGTGTATGCTAGTTTTAAATCCTCAACTGTGATATTCTAGTTCTTTTACTGTCCTTCGCAGACAGATTTTAAGATATAACATCATAAATTATTTTCAACATGACCCTTGTAAGTCACAATATGGCCGAAATATTTCCGAAGAGACTATAAATTTTAACGACCTTACTCCCTATATATACATGTACGTTTGGTAGTATAAAATATGTATGTGAAAACATATTGTACCGAAAGCCTACACGCTGATGCATATAACGATGATAGCCGCCTTGAAGCCACTAGACACTCAACAGTGCACATTGCCAAATAGCTATAGGATAAAATCTACTTACTGTGGCAATTAAATCCTGAATCTTACAAGCTTGGCGTAATATGGAAACGCGATGTAACTCCATTCACACTCATACGCACATACACACGTACACACAATCAAAAGCGCGGAATCGGGAAATGATTGTAAGATGTCAGTCAGCACGTTCTTCCTTTCAGGTTCCAGTTCAGGAATTGGGGCAGGAATTGCAACAGTATTCGCGAGAGAAGGAGCCAAACTGTCACTGACTGGCAGGAACGAGAAGAATTTGGAGGAAGTGGTCAAGAACTGCAAGATGGAAGGTTCTGACGTAAATAGAAATCAAGAGAGAAATCTTGAACTGATCACAAATACCGCGCCCATTTTCATACTCTCATAAAATACCAATTTATTCATGAAGACATAACCCCACTCGTCCCTTGCGTCGTGGTTGACAGCGATTCGTGTCTTGACCTCTTACTGTTTGCGAGAGAACAACTACAAATCGGCATTTTTCGAATCGTGTCAGAAAGTTAGTTCCTTAATCAATTATTAGCTCAATTTCCTT